AACTAAAAAAGAGCAATGTGCCTGCATTTTCCATAAACTTTCACATATTGCAGTCCATAAAAGCATATGTCAAAAGCAGCTTGTTAATTTTCAGGGTGCCATTTTCTTTCTTGCTTGCTTTCTTTGCTGTAACTAATTAACTGTTCTAGCCTGTAGAAGAGAATGCTATCATTAAGAATCTTAGAACTGCAAAGCTGGAAGGGACCCTCTGGATCATCGAATCCAGCCTGTCAAGGAGGTACAGTGGGGAGCTGAATTCCCGACATCTAGGTGCCTAAACCACTGAGCTATTGTGCAGTTCAGCAACAACAACATATTACATTGATATTTAACTGATAGGCGTGGTTTGCGGGGGGGGGGGGCTTTGTAAACTCTGGTGTTTAACATCTCACTAATCCCCATGTCAATAATTTTAAATAAAACTGGACTGGGCTACCATATTTCTCAACAAGCTGGAAAAAGCAATAATCTCTTATACATGGATGACCTAAAACTATATGCAAAAAGTTCCACAGAGATAGAATCACTGGTAAACACAGTGCAAATATTTCGTGAAGATATCAAATAAAATGTGGAATTGACAAATGTTTAGCTCTGTCTATACACTGTGGCAAGATCAGAAAATTAGAGGAAATAGAGTTAAAAATGGCAATATTATAAAATCACTATCAAGTGAGGAAAATTATAAATACCTTGGAATACTAGAAGCAGACAACATTGTGCACAAGAAAGTTAAAGAACTGACAGAAAGGGAATATATAAAAAGACTGGAAAATCTTAAAATCAACATTAAATGGGGGAAATACAATCAAAACCATAAACATATGGGCAGTTCCAGTAATTAAATACCCAGCTGGGATAATAGATTGGACTCTATTTTGTTTTGGAAACAATACAAAAAAGGCACAGTATAGGAAACAACAATTTGAAATAGCTGGAAAAATAAACCACTATGTGGATAACACCTGAGACATACTGATGGAAAGCATGATAATAATTCAACATGGGCATGGCTAAGACTGGGGACTCTTAAGAAAGAAACCGAAGGCTTGATATTTGCTGCACAAGAACAAGCACTCCAAACCAACATGATGAAAGCTAAGATCCAAGGAGTTAGTGCTAACAGCAAGTGTCGACTCTGCCAAGAAAAAGATGAAACTGTATAACACCTCATCTGCAAACGTTCAAAGGTTGCACAAACAGATTACATAATTAGACATGATATTATTGTTATTATTATTGTTGTTGTTGTTGTTGTTGTTGTTGTTGTTGTTGTTGTTATTGTTATTGTTATTGTTAATTGTATTTATACCCCGCCTATCTAGTCATTTCGACCACTCTAGGCAGCTTACAACATATATGATAGAGTGATAAAACTAGTGCACTAGTCATTATGCAAAATAACAACAACACCAACTTGCCAGCCTTCAAAAACTCATGAGAACATCAGATAGAGAAAGTGCCAGAAAATGAGGAAGTCAAGATCTTGTGGGATTTCCAAATCCAAACTAATAGACACCTTGAACATAGCGCACCAGACATAGTAGTAATAGAATAAAGAAATGTCTGGATCATTGGACATTGCAATTCCAGGGGATGCCAAAGGTGAAAATAAAGAATTTGAAAAACTAATGAAGTACAGACACCTGGCAATTGAAACATCTTGCCTCTGGAAGAAACATATTTCAGTGGTCCCCATAGTCATTGGGGCTTTCGGAACAATATCAAGAAATTTCACACAGTACTATAAGCAGATGCAGATCTCAACAACAAAAACTACAACAACAATAAAAGTAGTAGTAGTAGTAGTATCATCTCATTAATATGAGCAACATGTGGTACTCTCTCCCACTTTTACCCTTTTTATTTTTTATTTTAAAATTTTGTGAGCTAAATTTGGATTAATTCTGGCTCTCAACCATTATCTGAATTATTATTCTAATATTTTGAACTGGACCAGCCCTTTATTATGTAGAGTGATGCTACCACACCAGACAGCTGATGCTGAATCTATGGCAGCAATAGCAGATCCCTAATCATTTGTGCCCAGCCATTCCCCTCTGTTGGAAGGCTGAGCTGTGTGTACTACATGGCCTGTTCTCACATCCAAAACACTTTGCCCTGAGGAAGACCTGGGCAAAGTGCGCCCCGAGGGCCACATACGGCCCGCGAGCCGCTCCTGTCCAGCCTGCCGGTCGTCGCTCCAGTCCGGTGTTCAAGCACTTGTTCAAGCCCAAGAAAGACTGGATTTCTCTCACTGAACAAGTTGAGCATCAAAACCATTTATAGTTTTTTTGTCTAAAGTGGATCAGTTGCTTATCTTTAACATATTGCAAAAAGGCCTATTTAGTATTTGGGAAGATTAACAAGTTTAAAATAAAAACAATCATAACATCACTGTTTCATTTTATTTTAAAGTAAAGTTGGTTCGGCCCCCAAACACAGTTCAGCTTTTTCATGTGGCCCCCTATAGAAATTAATTGCCCACCCCTGCCCGAGGTATCACATTGCCATTGGCAATGCATGTTTTATCTACTAGACCAGTATGTGGAACAGATGGGTGATGTCTTGTCCATTACTTCAGCTAGTGAATGATTTGGGCAGCCCTGTTTAGGAACTATCTAATGAACATTTTTGAAAGCTGAAAGGTGGCTGAGGTTGTCTGGTCCTACGTTTTGATCCTAGCCTGTAGGTTTTAGGTTATATTCTCTAGGTCTTCAAAACTGAAATCTCTGTCAACCTAGCAATCCTAGATTTGGGGTCTCATTCTCATGGCTTCAGAGCACACCACTCTGACAAAGGCACCTTTGTGTTTTTCATTACATTGTGTGCTCTAGAGCTCCTGCTCTTGCTGCTCCTTCTTGCTGATTTTACACCCCAGCATTTACATTCAATGAGTCTTGCCTCTGTCTGTTTGTCTACCACACAGAAACCATTCTGCAGTGGTTGCTAAGGACCTGTCTCTAGGTCACAGGGTGTAGCCTGAAATCTCAGGGAACAGGAAGCTGCTTGCCTGGCAATCCTATGGACATGGTACATAAATTGTTAAATAAATAAGTAAAAATACTTTCAATGGGGGCCTCCTAGAGGGTAAACTTGTTTGTCAGCATCCTCCTTCACAATTTTCCCCAAGATAAAGTTAATCTTATCATAACACAGCCCCATCTCTTCCAAAATGACATGCCCAGTGGAGTTCCTCAGTGGCTGCTTCTTGAAAAGGTCAGGAGGCAGCAAATCACACAGTATTGTTACCCTGTTGCTCAAAGAACAAGCAAGAAGCAATACAGACAGTACGCTGGAATAAAAACTGAAATAATTCTACAAAATGAGGAACAATCCCTCAAAAAGGGAAGAAAAACTGAATTTTAAAACCAAACTGCTTATGGACTGAAATCTTCCCTGGAAGAAATAACACACAAATACACACAAGTCTCCTCGGAGGGAAAATGCTTTTCATACAAGTATTGTGTTTGGCAGATGACCTTCTGTCCCTTGCTGATTACTTTAAACACTTCTGACTTCCATCCTGAAAAGGCAGCATTACATTAAATAGGTCTTTCAATACACTGACAAAAAGTCTTGAACCCTCCACAGAGGCCAGCCAGGTGCCTAAATCACACTGTTTTGTCCAGCCATTACTGCCCATATGGCTGCTCCTCAAGCCGGCTTTCATCCCTGTAAGGAGCAGCTGCCTATGCTTTGCACAAATGCATTAAGAAGAGAAACTCTGGTCTCCTGCTAGGAAGTTAATGGAGATTTAATAGCACTGTTATGTAAGAATGACCAAGTGCAAATGTGCTTAATTCAGGCTCCAGGTAGTTAAAACCACACATAATGGGCTTTGGAAGCATTCAGGCTCTATGAAAAGAGAGGAGAACTTCCTTGTTTCAATTTTTTTGATCAATGTAGGTTGCCATATAATTCTTGCCAATGGTTATGCATGTCTCATGCTTATAACAGCTGAGGCTGTATTGATTGTAGCTACCTTAAATGCTCATGTTTCATGTGCAGGCCACAGCTTCACCTAATGCATTCATGCCTGCGAGAAGAAAGGTCTCTGTATAGGAAGTACAATAAGTCACTTGGAAACCTTTTGAAACATGTACTAGGGCAGAAATAAGCAACCTGGAGACCTCTAGATATGGACTACAGTTCCTATCAACTTCAGACAACCTGGCCAGTGATCGGGGATTATGTGAGTTGGATTCAAACCCTGCATTAGAGGATTTCAATCTTGTTGCATTGACAGAGGTGCTGATTCATTAACATGGCAGGCAGAAGTTATCAGCTGCTTTCATCACTACATCCTTTAAGGCAACATTCTGCAAACCAATGACATTTACATGTGCTTCATCTTTCTCTCTTCCCTAAAAACAAGGAACATCACCACTGTGTGTCTGCAAAGCTTGCAAAATCAGTTCTCACCCAAGACCTGGCTTACTCTTGCTCCTTGTGGAAAATCAGTTGGAATCTAAACACTCACATTTTCTTAAGCATGTCAGCTTTTCACCTGCCCCTCAAAGTTCTTCAATGCAACTCAAGATGGTTCAAACACTACAGACAAAACGGAATTACACAATTTCTATTTGCTGCACTTCTATGTCCATTTACGAGACAGGCTGTATGGGAAAATAGCATAGAATGCAAGACCTGAAGGGAGATGGAACACACCATAAACATGAGAGACAGGAAAATGTACATCAACCCTAGTGCTTGTGCTGGTCCTGCCTTCCCACTACTCTTCTGTCTGCTACTGTTTTCGTCTTTTCCTCCTTCTAACACTCAGTGTCCCAAGCACCTCTAAGTGAAGGGGAACTTTGCTTAGAATGAGGCACTGTGCTGGTGGTAACCATGGAGACTCCCTATGCCACCACGGCACAGACAGTCTACTTGGTCACACTGCCCACAGAGGAACTGTATTTCCAGAAGAGTAGCTTGTCTAGGCTCTGCCTTGAGATGTATTTTACTAGGAAGGCCTAATGAACAGGAAGGAAACTTACCACAGTGATGACATTTGCTGCTGGGACAGGCAGATTTTCCACTTCCTGGTCCTCACCGGTCATAGCTAAGAGATTGAGGGATGAGTCATGTCCAGGCCGAGAGAATGCTGATTTAACGATCATGGCAGGGTGCAGTTTGCTTACTTTTGCATGGGAATGCAAGTGGGAATTGTGCCCATAATCCCTCTGATCACTTGTATCCAAGCTTTTCTCAATACTTTGCACATGATGATAAATGAATATGGGGTTCCTGGTTTTTCTCTGATGAACTGCCAAGATGTGGTCAGTGTCTCCTGAGAAGCATCCTGTTAAAAAAAGGAGGAAATAAAAGGATGAATGTAGAATTCAATGACTCTTTGAGCAGGTGGGTTTGGTATTATTTCTCCATTCAATTTAATTAAATAAACAGGAGACAACGTTTCTGTTGTTGTTCAGCCTCACTGAACATTTTGGGAGACTGACTAGCTTTAAGACAACGTGGAAAAATAAATTATAAAATTATACTTTTAGGCTTCCTATCTAATACATTGTATTCAAAAACTTGAAATGTATTTTCACAGCATACTAGCATAATATTTATTAATGCTTCCATTTAATAGTAATTATTATAATGAGCTGTCAAGTCAATTCTGAAGTAATCTTTTTCAAGGTTTTCCAGGTACAGAGTACTCAGAAGTGGTTTACCCTTCTGTTCTTCTGGGGGCCCCCTAGGACTGTGCAGTTTGCCCAAGGTCACACAGGCTGGCTGTACTTGCAGGAGACACAGTGGAGAACTGAACTCCCAGCTTCTAGCTCTGCAGCCAGAGACCTAAACCACTGCACTATCCAGAGAGCTTTCCATTTAAATGTAACTTTATTTTTCAGTCTCATCAAAGCAACACAAAAAAATTTATATGATCTTTGTGAAAACAACAAAACATACATTTTTTTTATAAATTCTTCACCACATTTGTCATCATATAGAAAAATTTGTAACAGGGATGGGATTTTTAGATTTTCTAGATACCATAATTTTCCATTCTTGGAATCCTACCTACCTTACAGACACCTAATGGGATGCACCTGGGAGAAAGGCCTAAATTGGAAGTTTTATAGTACTCTGACTTCCTGGTACTGGCTTGGAGCTTCCCTTCTGAGCAGAGCTTGGCCTATCTAAGCCTCAGAGCCTTCCAATTTAGGCCTTTCTCCTAGGTGCAACACTTTCAGCTATCTGTACATCAGGCAGAACTTCCAGAATGGAGAAGTATGGTATCTGTAGAACAGAAAATCTGAAAATCCCATTCCTATTGAGAAATCCAAGCTGCAAAGTGTTGAACATGCTATCTATATTATACTAGGACCTCACGTCCCATGTGTTGACTGGAATGTTCTCCTCCACTACTAAGGTACCTATTGCCTAAATGCAGAATGGATGAGCAATCATGCCAGTGTCCCCCAATGGCATTCGTAGGGCATTTTTCTGTGCATCCCCATTCTCATTCTGGTTGTGAGATTCATTGCCTACCGGGGGGGGGGAGCTTATGCAGTTGCCCTTCTGCTCTACATTTAGACAATAGGATACTGGATATGTATTTATCCTTTTTTTAAAAAAATTCTACTTTACATTTGTGCTGTTCTCTTCAAAATATATTCCAAATGGCTGCAGCTAAGGATGAAATTTGTTCCCGTTCTCTGATGTTATTAATGCATCTTGTACCTTGTCTGTCAATTAGAAGTCCGAAGGACAGTGTGGTTGCTCTTGATCAAAAACAGCCCCACTGTGTCTCCACATATCTGATTTTGAGCATATAATAATGCCAGGTGGTGAAAGAGGATCCAAGAACAAAGTCCTGTTTCCACACATCAGTGCTAGGCACAGAAGATAAAGAATATATTTGAATCTACTGGAAGATGTATGGCTCATCTTGAATGGAGAGAAATGGCAAAGCCAGTACATTGAGTATGATTTGCGTGAGAATTGGCTCATTGACCAGCTCTGCTTTATTGTGCATAACTGTCATGCAGAGGTCATAGTATCTTGAAATCAGCAAATACCTAGTACACTAAAAGTATTGAGCGTTTTAGTCCAAAGGCCCAAAGGAGGCCAGTGGTAGATGATTTGGATAATTCAGATAACAGTACAGTAATGATAATGGCAATGATAATAATTCAGATTCAGATACTTTATTTGACTATAACCAGAATCACTGTGTTATGATCATCAGAAGTATGGTGGGTCAAGAGGACAGTGCTGCTAAGGAACAGAGCTCCTTTTCAAGGTTTTATCCATTTGAAGTGCTTCCCCACCCAAACCTGATTTAAAGATAAAGGGCTACAAGGAAGGAGATCAGGGGCTTTAAAGTTGCAAAGTGAGAACATGGACAGCAAACTCAAAAGACACACAATTCACCTAGGGAGTCTTCAGTGCCTAAGTGACATGCATTATAACTCTGTTTAAATTATACAAAAAGCATTTTTGTTTTTCCTTTTGCATATACTGTATAAATTTGTCAATGGAAATCCAACTTTGTGAAAATCTGTGTCTTCTAATTCCTTTAGGGGATATGTACTGTAAGTAGCCTGGCTCAAGATGGGTTGCAACACAAATATTTTTGCCATTCAAATATATGATAAAAATTTAACATGTTAGTTGCCAAATACATTTCTGAGCAAAAAGTAAATATCAAGTCTCAAAACACTGAAGATTACTGAAAATGAAAGCTTGAAGACTAGCCAAAGAGTGCAGTTGGGCAATGGGGAGCTCTCCAAATATTGTTGAGCTACTTGTTGAGTGTCTCCTAATCCCAAGAGTTTAGGCTGGCTAGTACACAAGAGAGAACTTCTTCAGTTACAGTGCCCTGATTGTGGAAGGCCCTCCAAAGCATGTAAGACAGGCTCCAATATTGCTGAGCTTTTGACAATCAGCCAAGAGTGTGCTTTTTGTTTTGCCTTTGCTTTTCAAAACTGTGGGTAGTCTGTTAGAAAACAATGCGGTGCTTCTGTTCTTATACTGAGATTTTATTGTACATCATTCAGGAGACTCTGGGAAGAAGAAAAACAATTCATAAATATTTTTGACAGTAAACTAATAATGTTGCCATCATCGTACTGCTGACTAGAGGTGACAGGAATAGGGGTTCAAAAATACCTGGCTCTCCAGCCATGGTCTATAATCTAGGATTACTATTAACTTTGAAAAAGAACAGATCTCATCTGAGTCCTTGGATCCTAAGGCCTAATAATTACCTAGATCATAAGAAAAGCTGTACTGGATCAGACAAAAATCTTTCCAGTCCAAGAATCTGTTTACTACAATGGCTAACCAGATGCCTAAGGGAAGCCCGTAACCAGGGCAAGAGCGAAATTGCCCTATTTTGCTTGTGTTCCCTGGCGACTGACATTCAGAGGCATACTGCTCATAATTCTGGGTCAACATATACCATCTACCAAAACTACTGCCCAGTATCCATGTTCATAAAGGTGTCTAATACCCTTTGAAAATTGTCCCAAGTTGGTAGCCATCACTTCATCAAATAGAATTGAATTCCATAGTTCCACTATTCATCTTTTAGCAATCCCGAATCTCCCACCGCTCAGCATCATCAGATGACTCTGGCATCAGGGATGATGCCCCTTTGCTGAGAGGAAAAGAAATTTAAAGAGGGAAGCACTCACCTTTCAAGAGTGCAGTAGGAGCATAGGAGCTCCTTTACACTGAATCAGAACATTGGTCCATTTAACAAGGTCCATTGTTCCTTATATTGATTCCAAAATTTCTCAAATATCACCTTCCTGCCTTCCAGATATGTTGAACTACAGGTCTCATGATGCTTAGCCAGCATATCCTTGAATGACAAGAAGCATAAACACATACACATGGAGACCATTAGATTGGGAAAGGCTGGCACTGGATTTTCTTATGTTCCTCTATTCCAGGCATTAAAGATAATAATCGTTTTCAACAACAGATGAAGGCCTCTGCTTTTGCTCTTAAGTCAGCATAAGTGCAAAAAATTCATAGGAGTGACCTAATTGTGGACACACAAGCAGTGCAGCTTACGGCCCATTCGCTAATTCAAGGCAGTGCCAGGGCAAGCGTTCAACTGTTTTCAAGCTGTTCAGAAACAGCTACATTACCAGAGTTATTTTTATAGTCTTTGAAGTATGTCATTAAAATAAAATAACCAAACAAAATGTTTTCATAGCACTTTTAAAGTCAGAATCTGTTGTTTGTAGATAACAAGCAGTCCTGCTGATGCAAGCGGGCTTTAAGGGCTTGAATCAAAATCAAATAAATTCACTGGGAAAGTCTCTCTTTGATTTTTGTGGATCAAGTCACACCTGTGAGATCAGAATCTGGCCCCAGAACCACAACCCACACAACAATCTTCCAGCTCATGAATAACTGCCTAATATGCCAACAATTTTTTAAAAAAATATACAGCACAATTGTAATTGTCTGAACATGCAGAATACAGGGAAGTGCTTGAGATTTTCATCAACTGCATGAAAGCAAAGCAAATGGAGCAGAGCTTTGGAATGTCTAAGCCTGGATGTGCCGCAGAAACATATTGTTGTGCAGTCTATTCAACACATCTTGAAGAGAAATAACATTAGAAAGATATGCTGTCAGTAATTCCATACAGGAAGCCATTCCCATAAAACTCTCAAAAGTTACTAGAGGATGGTAGTGATTCCAGGATACAGCAGGGTCCCTCTATTGTGCATGGCATTCATAGAGTGGCATGCCAAAAGCCTTGTATACAAAACATGCCATTCCTTTTTTGGACTTAGAAATTTAGAAACCTCTTTGAAAAGTGGACATTTACTGATCTTGAGGGCTCAGCAAATATTTGCTTTTTTAGCTCACTTGAGTCTGCCATGCCTGTCATCGCAGAAAGTTAGTTTTTGAAATTTCAGATTAGGCATCCTTCAGTCGCGAGAGACTATGGTAATGTTATCTATATGGAGCACTTGGAACAGTGTCTAATGTGGCTGAGAAGGCCAATTTGAAAGGGACAATCCCTTCCACTCTGAAGTCAAATACAATCTGTCCCCTGTCCAGCTCCCTGCTTTTGCTGCTTTCGTGACTTCCTCTTTGCCTCGGCCTGCTGGACAAGGGTCTCTTCAAATTGGGAGAGGCTGTGATGCAATGCCTGCCTCCAGGCTGAACACTCAGATGTCAAAGTTTCCCATCTGTTAAGGTCCATTCCTAAGGCCTTCAGATCCCGCTTGCAGATGTCCTTGTATCGCAGCTGTGGTCTCCGTCTGGAGCGATTTCCCTGCACTAATTCTCCATGTAGGAGATCTTTTTGGAATCTGACCA